GCAGAAACCATTAGCTATCGATTCATTCCAATTATGCTCTTAACTGTATTGTTAATTAGAATTTAAAGTAAAGATCCAGTCAAGATTTAGGGTATAGCTATGGAGGAAAAGTGATTTAAAAGATCTACAGGTGTTCAAGGGAGAGAATATGTTCAACTACATCCATACATGTCACTTATTAATATTTTGTAGCGCCCCCAATCCCACATTGGAAGAATGTGTGGATAAGGAATGATATATATGTAGAGATCTAAACCAAAATCTATGAGGCACCTTTTGTGGGACAAAACCGTGAGATCGTGAGATCTTTGAGTCAAAGCGAATAATACCTCACAAGTTGGGTGTAGGTCTCCACAAATGGTATCAAAACCTTCACCAATTGACGGAACTAAGTGCTACATTGTGGGAGTCACTAAGCGCTACAAAGTGAGGAGCCATCTCTAGAATCCCAATGTCCAGTGTGATTTTGGTCCTGTGGTTGGACTCAGCTTAACAGGGACGCCAAGCTTTGAAGTGGGGAGATTGTAACCCCCTCAATTCCACATTGGAAGAATGTGTGGATAAGGAATGATATATACGTAGAGATCTAAACTCAAAACTTATGAGGTGCCTTTTATGGGACAAAACTATGAGACCTTTGGTTCAAAGCGGACAATATCTCGCAGGTTGGGTGTAGGTCTCCACGTATTTTAATGCGGTTTTTTTCATCCCCTGGATCTACAGGGGTATCTTGTTCATCCCCAGGATATCTCATTTTATAGAATGGATTTTTCACTCATAACAAGTGAAAGGTCATTAAAATTTTATTAATTACAATAGTCCATTCTTCGCCATGTTAATTGAATGGATCATGTATATTTAGTGAATGAAATATTTATATGACTGACTAAATTTGCTTAAATATGCATGATTAACTGTCATTCTTTTTTCTTTGGTATGTTAATTGAATGGCTTTGGCTTTCAGTTGGGAGCAGCTGTAGTGAATCTTGTTGCGGGAGAGAAACCAGCTGATATCTATTCAGGAATTGCTGCCCGGTAATTATTACTTCCTCTCTCTAGTTCTCCACCCACACAGGGGCTGGAGATTAAACAATTTGGGTTTATATGTAAATGCTGACTAATACACTTCAATAACTGGGTTAGATAGGTCTTACCTCTTTGAATGCCAAAGGCTAAGATCATGTTCCTTTAACCTAAAAGCCCTAATTTCTCTAACCACTGCCCTCCATAAATTCCAAGCAGGTAGACTGGCCTAACTATGTCCTACATCAATATCTCTCTATGCAGTATGGTTTGGTGCTGGGACATCAATTTGACCTTAAAATCATTCTACTTGGGAATTCGGAAATTTTAGCTGAAATGCTGTTGGAAAAGATTCAAAACAGAAAACTGCAATCATGATTCTGATAAGAATGCTTTGCACTCATTCATTACACTGCCTTAAATTATTCATATTTGAGTGCAAAGGTAGAGTCTATTTCTGACAAATTAGAGGAATGCACATGAATGAATTTGTATGAGTTGTATCTTGAATTCACAGATCCATATATTTCTGTAAGCTGTCTGTTCCAACTAAGTCTCTGAGTTGCTCATTTTACTTGATTGGATAAATGTTTTTGCCTGGTTTCTTCAACACTTAAGAATTTGTATAACAATCGTCTTGGAATGTTGAGTTTACCAAAAGCAATTTTCTCTCATTGACCTATCTAAATCGGTTTGCTATTCTGGTGCAGAGTTCTTGATATTATGAGGAAAGATGCAGAGGAAGATCCTGCAACAAATCCTCATGCATTACATGCTCGACTTTTAATCAATCAGGTTTGTTTCATTTCTTCTCTTTCTTTTTTTTGAATGAAGAGGGGAGAATCTATGAAAAAGTTATACTAAATAGGTGTTGGGAATTCTTCAATCATTTAACTTTTATGTTTGACCAACTGAAATTGGAATGCATCCATTTAGGTAGTTAGTTCCTGATGTCAGGAGTTTCATAGCTTACACCTGTGTGTATTTTATTACCGACATTTTACCTTCACTATTTCAAATCTTTAGGTTGACCAGAAATTGGTGAAGCAGACTGTGATGACCTCTGTGTATGGTGTTACTTATGTTGGTGCAGTGAACAGATTAAGAGAAGGTTGAAGGAGCGATGTGCTATCGCAGATGATACAGAGCTTTTTATTGCATCTTGTTATGCAGCAAGAGTGAGGAATTGTTTTGTGTTTGCATGCCTGCATGTTTGTCACTGTCCGATTAAGGTTTAACTAGCTCATTTTCTTGTATGTGCAGACTACCTTGACTGCCCTGGGAAAGATGTTTCAAGCTGCAAGAAGTATCATGGGTTGGCTTGGTGAATGTGCAAAGGTCTGTCATTTATTTATGTAATGTTTCCTTTCAGTGCTTGTGTAATTATGAATGCTGGTAATCAATAGTTCAGAAGCTAGCAAATGGCTCTTCTACAAACAGATTTATGAATATATCCCACATGAAAGAAGGCCAGAAAAGTAGATTCAAAGAAAAATAAGAAAAGATTGTGCTTTGACTAGAAGGGCAATTTCATAGATTTTCATATATCATGTTTTCTTCATTGGTCCGGCACTTGTATTTCTTAGACTTAAAACCTAAGCACTTACTCCCCTCCCCCCCCCCCCCCAAAAAAAAAAAAAAAAAAAAAAAACTCCTAAGTACTTTAAGTTCAACTGATACTAAAGTAATTTTTAGGGAATGTATGAAAATCTTTATATTGGCTACCATTGGTGACCGCTTCTGGTGAGAGTAATTAAATAATTCAGATTGAATGTCCTCTTGATTTAGACAATATCTAATTCAATTGGTGACACCTTACTAATATGCTTTTATGGCTTCCTTTTCACATGCATATATGTATAAGTTAGGGGTTTGGTGATGCGAGAAATTGTCACACATTTTGCTTTGTCTTAGTGGCTGTGTGATACACCCAGTCATTGCACTTGAGCATTTAAAGCTTGGGCTTTATCTTATAGAATATTATCTATTTTCTCATTTTTAGCATACTTCCAGATGCTGACAGACTGAATATAAACAGGTTATAGCTTCTGAGAATCAGCCAGTGCGTTGGGTCACTCCTCTTGGTCTTCCAGTTGTACAGCCTTACCGGCAAATAGGACGGCATCTTGTAATGCACTAAACTGTTTGTTAAACTTTACAATGGCCAATATCTTTATTTTGTACCGTGCAAAAATGAAAGAAATCATTACAACATTCTGATGTGTTTAATTTGATGCAGATTAAAACTTCCCTTCAGGTGTTGACTCTACAACGAGAAACTGACAAGGTAATTTTCTTTCTTTATCCATGCCCTTTAGGGTTGCTGAGTATTATTATTTAGCCATAAAAGGTTGCCAAATATTTTAAGATTCTTTCTTTATCTGTAGTTGCATAATAAAGTTAACTCTTAGATTATATGTCCTTGGCAAGAAACCATTTTCTTAATCACCATTGATGGTGCAATTTTAGGTTGCTCATATTCATATCCAATTTGTGATGTTGCCATGTGTACCTTACTTTAAGGCTGCTAAAATGCCAACTGTGATTGTAGGTTATGGTTAAGCGGCAGAGAACAGCATTTCCCCCAAACTTTGTTCACTCCCTTGATGGCTCCCATATGATGATGACTGCTGTTGCTTGTAAAAAGGCAGGCTTGAATTTTGCAGGTCTTGGTGAATCTTTTCCTGTGTGATTTTTAGTGCATGCATGCATTCATATCTTTGTCTATCTGAGGAAGTCTAACTTCAATGCTAATGTTGTCACAGGGGTCCATGATTCATACTGGACACATGCATGCGATGTTGATGAAATGAACAGGATACTAAGAGAAAAGTTTGTTGAACTCTATGAGACACCAATACTAGAGAATGTAATGTATCTTTGCCTCTGGATTCTGTATCTTAATTTATATTGACAAGAATGTTTGCTGGGGTTATTTTAGAGGCTTTCCTTGTAAAAGGTGCAGTCTATTAGAGGCTTTCCTTGTGAAATGTGTAGTCTATCTTCCTGCCAAATTCAGGTTAAACATAAAAAAAGGAGTTCGAAGACATTTTCAAATTTCTAAATATCATTATGATTACTTGGAACACATTTATGCACTAGAAATAGGTGATAGCATTTCATATTTTCTTTCATGCCTTTTCTGAAGTTCCATTACGATCATGATTTCATGGAAAAGGTAATATAGAAATGGCCTAGGGATACCCTTACTTTGGATGGATTTGAATATCAGCAAAGTGGTTATTCATATTTGTGTATAACATGAAGAGGCTTGTTTATCTGAAAGTGTCATTATTTGAATTCTGACATCTTTGATGGATGGAGGAAAACAATTTTCTCAAACAGAAATATACATTTGCTGCATTCGCTGGGTTATGTTTTCTGCTGATTGCTTTGATGGTTTCATTTGTGCATACAGTTGTTGGAAAGCTTTCAGAGGTCCTTCCCTTCATTAAATTTTCCGCCTTTACCAGAGCAGGGAGACTTTGATCTCAGAGAGGTTCTCGAATCTCCCTACTTCTTCAACTAGCCTGATCCAGATGCTCTTGACGGTCTTCTTCAAAAATTCAAATTCCTCAATCTGTCATTTGAGCAACATACGATGGCAATCATATATTCTTTCACCAGGGTCATGGGATTGTGAAAAAGCAAGCTCTTTTTGCACCCAATGAAGGACTAAGGGCAGAACTGAATATCCCAAGACTAGGGTGCTAACAATAATCATTGTCCTGTGGGTACTTCTGTATATATATGTTACACAAAATAAACAGTTGGATGGAGATTCCCTTCAAATTTATTGCCCCACTGTTGAAGTTAGGCGTTGATCCACAATATTTTAAAGGATTTGAAGCAATAAATGGTAAAGAACAGCCGTGAGTCTGACGGTATTGAAGCAAGGCAGTTTTGTGTAAGCTATACAGAACTGGTTGAGGAAGCGATCCAGACAAAGGATGGAAGCTTCAATTAAGCATTTGGGTCATCGGTCTTTTAGCAATCATATGAGCAACAAATCATAGCAGGTGTGGAAGGTCTTTCCTATGGCTCGCCAGGCTCCCGGAACTTACCACAAGGATCATTGGTGTGTGTTCTTTTCATCGGCTGAAAGTTTTTCTTTAGATGTGTAGAAACTCAGATTGGATGTTGTTCCTTGAATTAAAACAAAGTTCATTCTTATAGTAAAAGGGTTAAAATTTATTTATTTAGTTTTTAAGATCGTGAACTTCACTTGCTGACTTATAGTTGTTTGTTTTCAACATTTTCGTGATGAAAAATGGTTTGCTAATATAAAAGAAAGAATTGTAAATGTTGAAATTTAAATCTTAAATTTATTGGATATCGATATTATTTATAGTGATAATATAAATTAATTGAATTAAGTTTTTAAGATTCAATAAATTCTTTTATTTTTTAATCATGTTTGTTTATTCAATATTTGTGACAAAATTTAAACAAAGTGTTAACAAATTCTTTTATTTTGTTTCCTTGAACGCCAATGTCAAGTCCTGGAGCATGGATGAGAATTGAAACGAAACAGATAAAATTAATTTGTAATTGCAATCTAAAAGCAAGGCTAGCTATTGGAGGCTATCTTGTCGAAAGAAACATTCCAAAAAAATTTAAATATTTCAATTCTTCCGCGCCAATGTCAAAGTCCTGGAGCTGACAGTCTTGTGTCGTTGCCTTGTTCATAATCTTTTTTGCTTTGTCAAACAAAAAGTTTCATCGTTTTCATGTCTATTATTCTTGAATTATATATATGCACACATAATTACGTATAGAAAACAAATAGAGTTTTGACTTTCTTTTTGTTGTTTGGAGGACCCCGAGGATCAGTTCTTTCTGTGCCTCCTTGGGTTGGACTTCGGAGATGATTTCAAGTGGTCCCAGACAAGTGGAAAATGTTGCATGCCATTGCGGCATTGCCAGCCCCCAGGTGAAAAATCCTCCTGTATCATGGTGACACGAACTAGAGAAATCAACAAGGCTGCAGCAGTGAACAAGTTTTGGCTTGTGTGTGAATCCAGGAGACATTGGCCTTGGCAAGTTGCACATAATATGATCTTGATGACACATTTTATATTGTTAGAAGGCAGGACTTGGCCGGCAGCCGCCGGAAATGTTCTTTTCAATGTCCAAAGCATCTTCCGTATAACACCTGTCTGTGATCTTTTAGTTTATTTTTGTCTATCATGGTTTCCCCTCAATCTTTGTTGGCATCTTTTGACTGTCTCCAAGCAACATTCTCAGTTCACATACAGCTTCTAGCTGGCGTCCCCAAGTAATTACTAGTGGTAATATTTCTTAAAGTATCCTTCAAAAGTTGGGATTCTAATAAAATAAGACTTTTTTGGATTAGTTCAAGTTGATATAAGAATGGGATAAAACCAAACCTCTACATCATTGGCGTTGTCTATATCAGAAGCTTATTATTAAAAACACCATAGCATGTAATTGACCAAAGATCTTTTTTTATTGGTCTCACGGTTGAGGTAACACCAATACCACCAGTTTTGCCAATCCAGACTCGTTCAAAAAGCAGGAGCTTATCCTTCTGAATTGTTCCCAGTTTCAGAAGACAATGGCTTCTTTTTCAATAGAAGATTTTGTTGGTGATGGGGTTCTGAAGGAATTGCTTCCAAAATTATTGGAAGAAGGTTGGGACGACGTCCCAACCCTAAAGATCATGAACTCAGATGACATGGCTGCAATCAACATGACACAAGATCAAAAGGTTAGTTATCCATATAGCATTCATCTCGAGAGAAATCTTTTCATATAGCAATCACTTGATGTTCATATGTCCATGACCTACTATGTTGAACATCTAGCCTAGCTCAAAACAAATGAGATATGATTTGGTTCTAATGATCAAAAGTTAAGACAAACAGCTAATCCACCCATATGGTTTCTTTTTATTGTTCTTCAGGATGCTCTGGAAATCCGAACATACCTTCATGATCGTGATCTGATGCAATATGGAGATAAGCTAGAGGCCTCCGGGAAATGCCTACCTGAGCTCCTTAACTTAAGCACTGAGGATCTATCTTCACAATTTGGCATGAAGAGGGGACACATCGCACGTTTCACAGATAGAATCAATCCATGCACAGATCCTTTGCCCAAATCATATTACCTCACTGAAAGGAAAATAAAGGGTACACCATCTAGAAATAACAGCATTTACAGGAATTTTGCATCTATCAATTCCAATAAGATGCAAAATACAGCAAAATCCATTGCCAGGAACAGCACAAATAACGACAGGCTGCTGGAAGAATCACTGGCCGGTTTCAAGATTAAAGATGCACATGTCTTTAAAGGGATTGTTGCAGCAGGACCAGCTGAGCCTCGAGCCTGTGGTTGTATACAACCTCCACCTGTGGTTGACTGTGTTGCACCTTACTCTGCTCTCCAAAACATATCGGTTCAGAAATTAAGTCCTGAGTATAAGATTGGGATGGAGCGTTTGGTGAAATCCAAGACTCCACCAATGAAAGCTTCAGAACTCTGGCGGGATAAGCCAGCTCTGCTCCTCTGCATTCGAAGACCTGGGTAAGTCAGAAACATTATATATCCTAGCAATTTCATCAGTTTCTTCAACTACATTTATCAGACGCTTTATTGCAACTTAGTCAAGTAGGATTTGCATCAACCAATATTCTCATAATTTTAATTAAATTACATCAACATCCAGTTTCTAGGCACTGGCCACAAATGGTAGTTGATGAAATATAAGTAGAATCATGAAGATCACCTGTAAGAGCTAAGATGAGAACTAAATGTCCTGTATTAACAAAAAACTGTAATCACATGCAAGGAACCCTGTTAGTGTGTTAGTGGTTGAAGCAACTAGGTATAACATTTCTACTGGCACTTTTGTAATAGGTTCTGTCATCTGATCAGTTTAGGTAACATGATGGATCTGTGCATGGTGATCCATACTGTTAGGCAAACAACTCTTGTAGTAGTTAAATAAACTTTTGTATGTTAAAGCCTATGTATTAATGAAATGAAGCTCATGATCTGCAGAGTCAATTTACTTCAAGTGACAGATTAGTTTCTTCTTTTTTTTGTTCTTCCTCTGCTCTAAATCCTTCAAACCCCTTATTCCCTAGCCCCCAAAAGAACGTAATAAAATGAACTTATTTTACTGACAAAGAAACTGTGTTTATATCATCTAAACAATGAAAATTGATTGGTTTTGCTGTCTACATCTGTTGCAACATGATAACAGGTGCATCATGTGCAGAGCTGAAGCTCATCAGCTCTATGCCAAAAAGCCAATATTTGATGCCCTGGGAGTTAAGATGTTTGCAGTTCTTCATGAGCATATAGAATCAGAGGTGCCTGGTATACTTTATTCAAAATATTGCTCCAATAAACTCCTCTTTTTCCTCAGATATTAATTTTTCTGTGCAGGTAAAAGACTTCTGGCCACGCTATTGGGGAGGGGTTGTAATCTTTGACCAGGCTATGGGATTCTTCAAAGCTCTTGGAGGTGGGAAATTACTTAAGGACAAGTTTCTATCAGGATTTGTGTTCAACCCCCGGGCTATTGCTAATTATAAACGTGCAAAAGCTATGGGAATAGAGCAAAATTTTAGAGGAGAAGGTGAAATTAAGGGTGGGCTTTTTATAGTTGGCCAGGGAGGAACTGGAATTGCTTACCAATTTATTGAGAGGAATTTTGGCGATTGGGCTCCTGTAGCTGAAGTTGTGGAGATCTGCACTCGATTACAGGTAATCTTTGTGAACTCTCTAATTCCAAATTGTGGTGTTGCTAATCCTTATCACATTATTGTAATCAACTTTTCTTCAATGTGATACAGAGCCTAAAGCAAGATCAAGGAGCTGCTAGCAAATCATCCCAAGAATACGAGTGAAGTGGTGTTTTCTCATATTTCTTATCTACTTCAGATTCATCGTACAATAAACTTTCTATCCTTAACATTGCTTGTGTTTCTCTCTTTGGCTTGTATTAGTATGAAATTGAGCAATACCACTTTTTTGATCGTAAAGATTATATAGGTTACATGCAAGAAATGGTACACATACGCAAATAATGTAGCTTTGTTGGTTTGTAGTAACCTCTATGGCTTGGATTGGAAAGAAATTCAGAAAATAAAATTCATAATAAAATGAAATTGAATGAAATAATCATGTACCTTCTCAAAAGATAAAAAACTTTATGACTCTTCCAATTCTCCTCCTCCTCCTCCCCCTCCTCCTCCTACCTCTGCATAAATAAAATTGTTCTGGAATTATATTGCTTGCAAGATCGAACTCTTTTACTGGTACAACTTGAACAAGTGTCATATGTTCTGGTCTGATTTTATTCATAAAGTAATTGCAAAGTCATGTATGATAAATAGACGAATTTGTGTTTGTGTAGTTGACTATCATAGAGCATGTTTCAACCAAATGCGAGAATATTGAATGGACATATATACAAACACAAAAACACACAAAATTTTATCTATATATGCATACATACATGCATATTTTGTGTATGTATGTGAATCTCTATGATCTTTCCGTTGAGATAAAGAGTAATTAACAGAGTTTTCTGGCATTGTTGCCTTTGTTATTGTGTAATTAGGTGTGACTCCACAATAACTCTTATTTTAAACCCCAATTACACCTACCTGAGCTACCTCAATCAACCATTACAACTCAACCTTAAGTCCTAAATTACAGCAATAACCACTGTTCACAGAACTAAAACAGCTTCTAAACAGCTTTATCAATCACTTCTTTATTCACTCCAATCCTATTCCATACCAAACCTCATAGAAATCTAATTGCTCTTAACACTATCCATCCTTTTGACCTCGATTAACCCAAGAATTAGTATCAAAACCTTAACTTTGCTTGTTTTTGCTCAACTGCATATTTTCTTTCCAATTGATCTCTTTCTTGTTAATAAGTCACTGTAACATGTAGATTTAGATGAAGAGCCGGGAGGGATAAGAAAAGGAGAAAAAGGTATGCCAGACAAGTAATGATGACAGTCTGAGATGAAGGGAGATGGGAGGCTAGAAGAAAATAGGCAAGTAACTAAAACAGAAAGGACAAGTAGTTTTATCATTTAAAATTATCATCTAGGGTCCCAAAGACGGAGGAACTGATCTTATAACTGACAGAAATATTATGGTGCTATGACATTTGATTTGAACCTCATTTCTTGTGATCTTCCAATCCCATGTAAAAATAATACAAAGTATTGTTATAATATATATGAAAAAAATTAAATTTGAATTTGTAAAATATTTTTTATGAGATAAAATTATGATATTTTTTCATTAAAATAGATAATATTTTTAAGATTAGGTATGAATTTTCACAAATGATATTAAAACAGTCACTAATAAAACAGTGATTAAGTGTTATATTGTAAGAATCACCTCTAGAATATTGTGAGAGCTAAATGTTACACTGTAAGAATTATTTTTAAAATTTCAACGTTCAATGTGATCTAAATGTGCTTTATATTGGGTTTGTTTAGTGTTGATATAATTTGACGAATCTGTGTGCTTTGTGTTAAGTTTGATGGAAACGTCAAATTTTAACAAAAAAAATTTGTGATGCTTTAATCTCAAATCCAGATAATTTGAAATTTTATTATAATATATATATATCTAAATCCAATTTTTTTTGTAAGATAAAATTATAAAATTTTTAAATTAAAATAAATAATATCTCTCAAATTAAACGTGGATTCCCCGATTTACCCCTAGACAAGCGCTACTCTGCAGCTCCACAACATTGCTCAATGGTAGTAGAAAACTTATATATTAACCTATTGGTCGACAGAAATCAAAGATTTTGTGCATGTGCACAAGCAGGCAATTCAATCACATGGATTTTGTGCCGCTTCAATCACATGTCATGCAGACATGTTATAAGATGTTTGGGAGGCGTTAATGTGGACTTCGTCAATTCTTCTACTTAACTATGGTAGTGCAAATTACTGAAGTATGAAGCAAAACTAATATCCCATCATGGAATCATGTCTTACCTCTGTTAATAGTAGCTCGCTAAAGATTAACAAATTAATTCCATAAACACTCTTGTGATACTCTGTTCATATTGAAATCAGGAAATCAAACTCAGCTTTTATGTAATAAAAATGCTTCAGGCCTTGAGACAACTGAAGACTGTGACCTTAACTGTTACAGATATGCTAGCAATTCTGGCTGTCGCTTAGCAAATGTACCTTGGTTTTAGCATTACCATTTAAGAAGATGATCTTTTAAAATGAAAAACCCTCTAGTGCTAGAATCATTTCCCACTTAATTGCAGAATCTCTTTTTTATACAACCAATCCCGCGATTTGATAATTTCAATAGTCAGCTAAAGGTTTTGATCTCCTCAACAATATCTTTGGACAAAGAAATCAGCATCACCTGAAATCTCCACATGAGCATGTTCCATATTTGAACATATGGAACCGGACAGCATCTCTTATTAGTATCTCTGTCAGGGTGATCTTAGAAATATATTTAGTTGCATTGTGGCAATCCCCGCATAGATTTTTAGCTATGCGTATGGCATTGTGGCATTGTGGTAATCATTGTGTTATACATTACCACATTCCTCTCTGGCGTTTCATCAAAAACTCGTTTTGCATCTAAAACGATCCCTGCTTTTGAAGTCATATCCATCAAAGGACAACCCAAAAACACATAAGATCCTAACCCAAATTTCACAATCTGCCCATTAATCTGCCTACCCAAATCAAGACACCCTTGACTAGATGACAATATCTGCATCGTAGAAAACGTAATCCTATTCAAATCATCCACCCTATCCCTCAACATAGAATTATAACCCTTCACCGTCTCAGTTACCAAACCACGAGAAGCATACCCAGAAATAAAGGAATTCCAAGAAACCTCATCCTGTTTAGGCATGCGATTAAAGATATAATTCTTGTCTGAAAGATTCCCAGATTTCGAATAAGTGAAAAGCATAGTGTTCCATGAAAAGAGATTTGGTAGGGGAATTTTGTCGAACACGTATCGTGCCCGTACGTGGTAACGAGATTGTTTAATAAGAATGTTTCAGGATTCTTCAAGGTTTTGAGAATGTGACAATGAATTTTCTTTGCTTGGGTTTGGTTACGAGTTTCGGTGCAGATTTTTACCAACGAACAGTAGTAGTTGACTTCGAAGACATTTTTCTTTTTCCGTTGAAAATGGTTGGTTCAAAGACATCGTTTATTAGTAACCTTCCCACGATGCCTTACCCCCTGTCCTACGGGTGGATTGTTCTCAAAGTATTACAGATTTCTATGAAAGAAAATCAACTTAGGTTGGCTCAGGTGGTAAAGGATCGTACTCTGTAATGTAGAAGTCCTGGAATTGAATCTAATTTTGCAACACCTTCGTTCACATCTCATATTGAAAAAATATGTAAATAAAGAATGATATATAAATTGAGATATAATCTAAAATTTGTGAAATATTTTTTATAAAATAAAATTATAAAATTTTTAATTAAAACGGATAATACCTCGCAATTAGATACAAGTTTTCATAAATGATATTAAAATGGCCATCAATCGATGAAAATTAAGTGTTATCTTGATCCTGTGGTCGAAAGATTATAACGCTTCCAATCTCACATTAGCAAAATATGTGGATAAAAAATGATATATAAGTTGAGATTTAATTTTAAACTTAATCTCAAACTTCTGGTTCTATTGTTGGACTTTAGAATCCCAACGTTTGATGTGATTTTGATTTTAAATCTCAGGTTAAGAGATTGTAATACTTTTAATCTTACATTGAAAGAATATATGGATAAAAATGATATATAAGTTAAGACTTAATTCTAAACTTAATCTCATGCTTTTGATCCTGTAGTTAGACTCTAAAATCCCAACATTGTGATATTGGTCCTCAATCTTATATTAGAAAAATGTATAGATAAGGAATGATATATAAGTTGAGACTTAATCTAAATTTAATCGTAAACTTTTGGTCATATAGTTGGACTGTAGAATCCCTACGTCCGATGTGATCTTGTCTTATATTAGAAAAATGTATAGATAAAGAATGATATATAAGTTGAGACTTAATTTAAACTTAATCGTAAACTTTTGGTCATATAGTTGGACTGTAGAATCCCTACGTCCGATGTGATCTTGGTTCTGTGTTAGACTTGGTTTGATAGAGATGTCAAGCTTTAAAGGTGGAGAGATTGTAATGCCCTCACATTAGAAGAATGTGTGAATAAAAAATTATATATAAATTGAGACCCCAATCTTATATGAAAAGAATGTGTGGATAAAAAATTATATATAAGTTGAGATTTAATCTCACATTAAAATGAAAAGAATATATGAATAAGAAATGATATATAATTTGAGATTTAATTATATTATTTTATTGAATTTTGAATTTGAATGTGTCTCAAAATCTGAAAAATTCGTGGGAGGGGTCATTTTTGGATCCATAATGGATAGATTCAAGAAATAAGAGAATTAAGGATAATCACTAGAAAAACTAATCTAATCCACAAAGATGTACCAAAAAATACAATATTTTTGTTACTCAACCAACTATTAGGAGAAGCAAATACAACAGGTACACTAATTAGTAAGATTGACGAAGTAGCAATTAATGCAAAAACAGCCAATTGGAAAGCAATAGTCATGTTTCTAATCCTCCAAGCTACCAACAAAAGAACTATACCATTTGATCCCTCTATCATATCAAAAAAAAAAATTTAATAAAATGCGGGGTAAAATAAAAGGATTTTACCATGAATCGATTGATTCTATATAACTTATTTCCAACCCTTTACCGCTTTTATTCAGACATAGGGTCGAGGGTGATTTTTTTATTTCACGTTCACAAATAGACATGCTAGATCATGCATTTCATATATCAGGTAAAGAGATTGTAATACCCTAATCTCACAAACCTCACATTAGAAGAATGTATGAATAATGAATGATATATAAGTTGAAATCCCAATCCCACATTGGAAGAATGTGTGGATTCAGTTTGATAAGACCGTTAAGCTTTAAAGGTAGGGAGATTGTGTAGATAAAAAATACATAAGTTGAGACTCCAATCCCACATTAGAAGAATGTGTGGACTGAGATTGTAACGCCTGAATGATATATAAGTTGAGATCTCAATTCTACATTGGAAGAATGTATGGATAAGAAATATATAAGTTGAGATCCCAATCTCACATTGAAAAAATGTGATATCCCAATCTCACATTGAAAGAATGTATGGATAAAAAATATATAAGTTGAGATCCTAATTCCACATTGAAAGAATGTGTGGACTAAGATTGTAACGCCTTCAATCCCACAAATCATATATTAGAAAAATGTATGAATAATGAATGATATAGAAGTTGAGATCCTAATTCCACATTAGAAAAATATATGGATAAGAAATATATAAGTTGAGACCCCAATCCCACATTGGAAGAATGTGAGATCTCAATCCCATATTGGAATAATGTATAGATAAGAAATATATTAGTTGAAACCCCAATCGGACTCAGTTTGACAAGATCGTTAAGCTTTAAAGGAAGGTAGAGATATTGTAATGCCTTTAATCCCATATTATCTCATATTGAAAGAATATTTGTATAAACAATGATATATAAGTTGAGACTTAATTCCAAACTTATGAGATTTTTTATGGGATAAAATCGTAAAACTCGTGAAACCTTTGAGTCAAAACAGATAATACATCGCAGGTTGACTGAAAATCTCTACAAACTTAATGTAAAAAAATCAAGAATTGAATCTAACTAATAAATATCTGTTAAAATTATCTTGAATGTATAACTTTCAATTATCTATTTTAAATTATCAAATATGATATATTTTATTTTAATTTAAAAACTGAACGATCTATCTATCTTAAATTTTTTTTTGTTGAAAAAAAATCTACTTATAAAAGTAATAAATCCTCTAATAAATTCCAATGTCTAACTTGGTCATGCACTTTGACATGCATTGATGTCATGGTGAGAATTTATAATTTCGATGATCAACCAAATAGGGGCGCAAATGATTTTATTCCAAATTAAATTTTAAATAACTTTCTCTTTTGAGAAAAAGAAAAGTAAAATATGGAAAATATTCAAGAGCATTATATCCTTAAAACCTGAAATTTAACTTAATTAATTCTTACAAACAGATTTAAAATTCAATTTGCTACATTTTAACCATTTCCTTTATCCTAAGCCATGACACCTTTATAAATTAAAAAAAAAAAAAAAAGAAGACAAACTCCTACATCACAAAAACGTTCCATCATCAATCTGTACATTCAAATCCACCCCTTTCCTTTGAGTAGGACAGTAATACAATTTCCTTCCCATGATCAAAGGAGGGTTCCATTTCCCCCTATATCTCTATTGCTCAAACAAGAGAAGATGAAATCACCTTGAGCTTTCAAGCAAGCCTCAGCTTCGGTCAAATGTGACTGACATTCCCAGCTACAGAACGAGGGCAATAGCATCTTCAATTATTCAATAAGAACTGGGTAGGAAAATGGTGACAACATATGTTTATAATTAATCTTTCAAAGCGCGATTTGTCATGTCCTTGGCTGCCTTCAAGAATGCAGAATAAATATGGTAGGTATAAGGCCATAATGTGCGGCCTGGCATGGAGCCATAGACCCTTAAGAGAAGGATCAAAGTTCTACTTTAGTATGATCTGATGGTAGAGACCCTGCCAAAGCATTAGATAAATTTTAGTACATTTGGCGTATGACATAGGCCACAGGGTGTTAATAAAAAGGAGTAATACCGTTTACTTCTTGGTTGTCAGAAGGAGCATTGGCTCCATAGTTCATCTGGACAACATTGTGGAGGTCATCCTCCCATGCATTCGATACCTAGAACAAAAATGAATAGACACAAAAAGTAAATTTGTAATCCTCATAGATTCATGAAGTTAAGCAGATAAAACATTTTACGTCATTCACATCATGCATTAAAGCCAAGTTCATTTGCACAGTAATATTTCTTTAGCCTGTTCTTTTTTTTTTTTTACACATTGGTAACACTTTAAAAAATATTAAAAGAATAAATAGACTCAAGTCTCAAGTTTATGAAAGGGAAAGGTTTCACAGAGGTTGCCTATTAATTAAACATTTGATGCTACAAATATCCACACACATGCATGAAGTGTGAACTGTGAACTATAAAAAATGAAAAAAAGGAAAACCTGAGTGGGCTCCTTGAATCCTCCAGCCATTGGAGTGAAGTGGGAACTGAGAGTTCCACGAATAACATCAGCATTATTCCCCATGACAGGAAGAGCACCTTGAACGAGTCCAGGTTGAGTCGGATGTAATGAAGGATAACCCACAGAAAACTCAGGAGAAAACCCCAGAGTTGATGAAGGACCTGCTCGTAAGTGAATAATCTGTATTTTGATGTCGTAGTGAGATGGATTAAATGAGACAGAGATATGAGTAGTTGCTAAATCTACGCCGATCAACTTACATCTTTTGGCAGAAGCCCTTCTATATTAAAATCCAGTCCTGGGTCCACCGTTGCAAGTTTCATTGATAGAAACTGCAAAAAGGAAGAAAATAAAGTGACACATTAGAACTTGAGAAAGGTAGCAGATGGTTATATCTCTACGGTATATGCAAATCAGTGAAAATTATTGTATGGAAATTAGATGAGTTCTAGAGATTCAGACTATGATTCTATCCATAAATTATCAGTTTCGAAAGGCAAGAATATCATGATTAATACCATATATGCCCTTAGGTTGTAACAATATATACCTCAATCTAGAACAAGATCCACAAGTTATTTTTTTAGTTTGTGTATTTATCAGATCATTTCGATAAAATTGAAGTGTGCACCATTCTGCCATCACCAACTAAACTAGATTACTAGGATACAACTGGGTTGGCAAAGGGAAGTTTAGAATTCTGCTCCAATACCTCAACCTGCCGCTGAAGTGACTGCACATAGTTAATGATTTCATCTAGCATCAATGCCTTGCCAGTAACCTGCAAGAACCAATACCCTCACAAAATGAATTACAGTAGCTGTTCCGACTACTAATCGTAAGTTAACCGGATTGTATTCCCTAAGCTATAGCATCCAAGAAAACACACCTTGCTGCAACCAGGTACAAGGTCCTGAAGAAGTTTCATCCTTTCACTAATCTTTTCTCTTCTTACCTGTAGTCATAACCAATTAACTCGAATCTAAACAACAAATATGATCTAAATATTGCCAATTTTCAATAAGTTTTCCATGTAAAATTTACCCTTTCTGCAAGACTATGGCTGTTTGTTGCCTGGCCTCTTCGGGCTCTGACATGGATGTATTCTTCTTTTGGTGGATCAGAAGCTTGAGAACCTTTTTTCCCCTGTTTTCCTGTAGTCTTATTGATCATTGTAGTTTGGTTCTGGTCTCCCTTCTGTTGATTTTCAGCACTATCCTTTGCAGCCTCAATAGGTGGTTGGCCTCCCTTAGCTTGATCATCCTCAGCATCCTGCCATAAATTTAGCAATCAAGAACTTAGACTATAAACAAAAAATATATAATGGATCAGGGAAACAATTGGCAAACATTTTTTTACCTGTACAATCCTTTTTCTTTTCTTTGAACTAACACCCTTAGCTGAAGGTTCACCACCTGTACCATCCAATGCAGATGGCTCATCTTGACCACCAGCACCACCACTAAACTCAGCCTTATCAGACTCGTTACCAGAGCCAGCAGTTCCTTGTTTTGCTTTTTCTTTAGATGGAACAAGAATTTCACTTCCCCTTTCATTCTTGTGTGGGCTTTCTTGAGTAGACCTATTTTCAACTTGCAAACAAGCATCTCTAGAAGCTTCAGTGGCATTCAACTTACGTTTCTGAGATTCCATACCAGATACTGATTTCATCCCACTGATTGCAAAAATGTCTTGTGGTCCTTGCATCAAGCCCACACCCCTAGTATAGATATCCATGGATTCAGGAATACCAAAAGGGTTCACCATATCACTAAAATTTCCCCCATTGAAGCTTGATAGCCTGGCAGCACGCTCAATGAAAGCTGAATCAGCTGGCAATTGAGATAGGCTCTGTGGTAGAATCCCAGTCGCATGTGGTAAAAACATACCTCCTTTCAACATTGAACTTGATGCATTCCAACCCATGTCAAATGGTCTATCAATGCTACTTCTCCGAGAGTTTGGACCACCTTTTCCAATTCCTATTGCATTTAAAGAGCTCGCACCATTTTGCACATTAATGTCACAAAATACCAAGTTTTGTGAATTAGAAGGATGCTCCCAAAGGTTAGAACCAAATGAATCTACCCCTGAAGCAGAGGCACAAGAAGAACCAATAGCCATGGGATTATCACTGGGAACCAAGCTCATAGGTGGACTTGTGAGATTGGCACCGCCAAACTGCCAATCAGATGACATACCAGGTGCCTGGTAGTTTATGTTATTCTCGTTCCTCTTTTCTAGCTCGTGTTTATCCTTTTCACCTATGTCCATCCCTCTTCAACAAGAACAGCAGAAGTAACTCAGTCTATCCCTTTTCTCCACAATTATGTTTGAACACGCAAACAACAGATTTGACAACTACCTAAAAATACCCTTAACTGCTCTAAGATGATCAACCAAAGATCAAAGATCACAAAAGAGGCAGGTAGAAGAGAACAACAACAAACAAATCACATGTGAAAGATATCTAATTCTTTGAAATATACTAAAACACAATAACTTTACAATCAATCTTCAAGCTAAGTCCACAAAGGGTCTGAAAGTTATAGTCCTAAAAAGCTGAAATAAACCTAACCCAAAAAAAAACCATAGAAACTGCTCAGAAGAAGTATCAAAGAAAACCCACCTCAATTAATGAACCCCCAAAAACAAAACTGACATTAAGTAGCAAACATCCCCACAGGCTGAAACAGCCACCATTTCCAAAGCAACAACTGCAAATTGGAAGTACCCAAACTTGCACAAAGGAAAAAGCCTTCTTCAAAAAAAAAAAGAAACAGAACAGAGCAGAAAAAGAAGTTCAAAGAAGAGCTGTAAAAATAAAATTAAAAGTCTACTAGAAGCAGTCAATTAATCTAGAAAAGAACATTGATTTCAGTACAATAAAGCCACCCTTCTCATTCAAAACCCTAGTCAGAGTTTACCAGAGAGAACCCAGAAAGAGAGAGAAACTCAACTAAAAGTGGGGAGAGAAAGATACCCATGTTCAGATTCTCTGCTTACTTTTTTGTACTCTCTCTGCTCTCTCATAGTCTCATTCAAGGCCTTTTCTTTTTTTTTCTTTTCAACACTCCCAAGCACACAAAAATTAAAGCTTTTATTGCATTTGAGCTAGTTCTTTTCTTTTCTTTTGTTCGCTTAGCAACAGAACAACTCTGCTACAAAACAATCCAAAAAACCCACAGAAGAAAAGTAATAAAGGAGAGAGTTTTATTACTTTAGAGTGAGAGAAAAGAAATGGGTATTTGTCTATTTCGAAGGGGAGAGAGTGAAAGAGAAGAGTTATGGCAACGGTCCTGCATTTATACCCACGCTTGCATCAAAAAGAGAGCACTTTGATCATTAACCACCGCCACTGCTACTGTTAAAATATTTCGAAACACCCCCTTTCTCTTCCTTCAAACTTCAAAGCTTTGCTTACTTCGTACTATGTGGGAGTATTTTTTTTTTAAAAAAAAATTCAATAAATTACTTTGGGGGTTATTTTTTCGAGTTTGTTTTGGTATTTTTAATTGTTTTTTTAGTTATAATTATACCCATTTGAGCTAACAACTGTCACTGCCAACTTTCATTAGAGGATTTGTTTGGTACATTGTCTTTTGTTTATCTTATTGTATGGTCCTTTTGATTAAAAAAATCTTTGGGACCATTTGATCATCTAACATTTCTTTTCTTTTCATTATGAAGATGCGTTGGCTAATTGATAATCATATTCTCTTGTAACTAAACCACAAAGCTTAAATTTTTTTTCCTCATATAACAAAGAGAGAAACTTTTCCTTCTCAGAATAATGCTTTATGAGGGTGGTGTGAATGTAAACATGGATATGACAAATGAAGCAGTGGTCCAAGTCCAAAGCAGATTGCTCTTGCTGTGGCAACTGGCAACTGTGAAAACGATCAAACCATAGGCAGCAGTATGGCATTAGGTATCAAGTGGATGTGTTGTAGCACTGGCGGCGAGATATGGCATTGATCCTGTCTGCTTGTCAAATTGGCAATGCCTCTCCCCACTACTCGCAAACTCACACCAAGTATGAATTCAATCAATCATCTTGCAACATTGTGTTAGAAATTCTCTTATAGGCACTTGGCCAAACTTTCTGCAAGTTCTTGTACTCGTCACTAGCAACTATATAGCTGCCCTGGAAAATATGAACAGCAAAATATTGCTGGCTAAGTTATGAAGTTCGAAACTCAATCAAATTGATTCATTTAATTATTTTTAAAATTTAAAATTTAATCAATTTAGAATTTAAATCTCAACTCTCATAATTCATTCTTTCCTTTATCACAAGTTATATATGATCTTTAGAGAATCACCTACAAAAGTAATCAAATCTAATGGCTATGTCAGCTTTAGCTGCATTCTCGGAGAGTTGACCAACAAATTAATTTGAACACTTCTTTCCTCTGCAACCATGGCTTCCCTGGAGGAGGTCAGGTCATCCATGAACAATTAAAAATATAAAAAAAACATTAGTGTTTTTTTCTGTAAACTTTATGTGGCAAGTATTTAACTATCTTATACTATATTGATGGACTGTCCCTTTCTCTCTTTCTCTCATGTCATTATTAGTTGGCCTTGGGACTTACAATTCTCAAAGACCTAAGCTTTAGGATAATGGAATCTTTCTCTCATTTTTACTAATTTATGTAAGTAAAACACTAATCTTTGCTTAACCCTAAGCACTATTAAAATACCCATGTAAGAGGCAAAAATGATTTGTATTGATTTGGTTGGTTTTACTAGGAATGTTGGAGAAGAAAACAACAAGGTTTCTACATATATAATCTCCTTTCCAATTAAATAAGAAATTTTTAGATATAAATTTTTACTTGAGGACTTGAGGATATTAAAATTTTAATTTTAATTTTTAAAATTAAAAAAATACTTTATCGACAGATCATATATTTTTCAGACTTTGTTATGTTAGAATTCATAAACAAAAATCTAGAAGGATACGGTCCAAAGGAGAAGACAATGAAAATGAAAACGAAGAAAACCCTATCAAACTATTGATCTAATTAAACAAAAGGGAACCAGATTCCCTGGCAACAATTTCTCCAATGAGATAACTAAGGGAAGCCAAGAACTTGGCAAATGGGTTGTTGCCACCTGTACTTTTGTGGGAAGGAAGAATGCTGATCGGTGTCATATATGCAAACAAATTATATAAAATCAAAATTTGCAGATTTGTAAGCAAGTAAGAGTTGGGTCATGCTTGGCAATGGTTCTCCTTCTGGAAAAAGGCAAAAACCAAGCAAACAAAATCCCATCCAAAGCAACATTTGATGGGAGTTGGGGATTCCATATCTCTTAAAACAGAGCTTTAGAATTCTTTAACCTGAATCAAGTACTGTATCATCCATGATTACTCTCTCCCCCTTCCAGATTAATGGCATGGAGATGTTAACTATAAAGTAGTGTTTACATTACGCCAATACATATATATTATAAATATTGAGATTTGAATTTGAAAATATTTATCGTACAAATCTTGAAATGATGCTGATATTCTATGTAAAGCTATGGCATTGAAATTCATAAATGTTGAACGGTAAAGATTTAGATGAATGTCAGTTGAGTCTGAAAAATAAAAAATGACACAAAATCTCCTTTTGTAAGTTCTTATGAATTTCATGCAAGCATCATGGCATAGCATGATGAGATGTAGTTGTTGAATGATAGTTTTCAAACTTTTTCATAGTACCTTTTGGCTCACTTTTTTTGTTTTTTCAAAACCCTAATTTCAAACGATTCACACTTTCGCATTAGATGATGCTTGCCCACTCGAAAATGTTAGGAACTTTCCTCCAAATTTTTCTTTTTTTTCTTTTTTTCAACTTTACAACCAAAGTTAATGTGATGTATATGGGACCCTTTTTCTTTGGTGGAAGGCTTAATTGTGATAAAAAAAAAAAAAAACTACATGCTATTTCAACTTGTTGTTTGCTCCAAGCACTCGATTGTCCCCCCAAAGATCTTAGGTTGAGATATTGGGAATGTTCCTAAGCTACAAACCTTTACATCAGTATATGCACCCATAAATTGGTGAAAAATGAGACATTTATTTTGGTAGGTAGATGTCATTTTTCAAATGTGCCTAATTTATATATATATAAAAATTTTAATTGCATTCTCTCGTATAGTTCTACACTCAACATTTTATTTTTATCAATTTTGAATTAAATCTATGTAATATTCAATTAATTTTATTGACATGGGTCCAACATATAATATTAAAATAATATTTAATAAATTTGATATTTATATCTTAACGTTTATAATGAAAAAAAAAAGCAAAAACTTTGAACAAAGCATATCCATGTCTTAGTTTTTTTTTTTTCAGTCACTCAATGTAAAAAAACTGCCCACTTTTTTTTTTTAATTTTTATCTTTGATGATATAAAAGAAAAGTATAAATGGGATTTCAAATAAAAATTTTTTATTCCAACTTTCAATCCATGAATAGAAAGAAAGAGAGTTGTGAACTTGTCTTCTTCCCATAATTTGTTTCACCTCAAGAGTGTACGTACGTTATTGATGGGCACATCACACTTTCTCTATCCATTTGAACACAATTATAATGTTATGGTGACTTCATGATTTAAGCTAAAGTCACTATATATCTCATCCATGGAAAGGGACTGAACCCTAAAATACAAAGGCTTTTTTTTTTTTTAACTATGGTCACCTATCATTGGATATTTTGCTAATTGTCTTAGCCTAGATGAATAAAAGGGTCATGCTAAATTGTTCTTAGGAACCACTTTCACACGAATTTAATGATATTTTTTATCAACGAAAAATGTTGATTCAATCTGAAATAATTTTAAATTCAAATTTTACTAGTAATTTTTTCGTTATTTTTTATTTCGATTGTACAATTTTTATAAAATAGAATTCTTATTTTAACTTAAGGGAGTGAATAAGTTACCTACTATAAAATTTTAATCAACAAAAAGAAAATATCTTTATAACTTTTTTTTTTTTTTTTTTGCACAGCAAAGTCTTACCAAGGTTTGGTTTCAATCACTAATGTTGCCATCTTGTCCAAGAAAACTTATATAACCTAATCGTGTATGAAAATTAGTCCAACATATGTACAAAGGTTGTTTTTCAAACCTGTCAATTATCATGGGATTTTGCAAAGATTCTACATGCATTATTGATGGATGATCATTATGGTCTTTGACTCTTGTTTAGTACACTACTCATTTTGTCTTAGTGAACCGACTTTTACCAAATTATGACATTTTCATTTTCATTTGCATTTTTTTTCTTAAGATCTCATTAAATATTTAAATTATTCAAGCAAAAAGTATTGGATGCCACAAAATTAAGGATTTTTTTTGCCAAAAAAAAAATTAGGGACAGTTGAGTAGTTGACAACCTTAGAACGTTTTAGTATTATGGAAAACAACCTTGTTAATTCTTAAATTTTTGTTGTAATTAATTTCTCTCAAATAAAATTATTTTATGATACGAGTATTTTTCGAAAGTGAGTCAACAAGAGAAACAAAGTATAAAACGAAGTAAATCTAAAATTTAATTTAATTGATTCATATAATTACTTTTAAAAGATGATTTTTAATAGATCTGAAGTTTAATATCCGATACCCTCTTTAACTATCCTTAGACTAAATTCTTTTGTACAAAAAAAAGTACAAAACGAAGTGAAAGACCTAATTGCTTAAGTGTTAATTGTTTGCTAGTGTTCAAGAAAGCAAAATCACCCTAACCAGCTGCCCAGCAGGCACAAAGATAGACAAGATAGTTAAATATCTAGACTAAATTCTCATATGATAGCATGTGTTGGGAGAAAGATCTTTGAAGCCTTTAGTACTTAAAGCCATTGTCTTTCTTATTAAAGCTACAATGGATAGAAAGAGCTTGGCTTGTATACTTGGACATTTTGATGGTAAATGATGGTTCAAAGAAATATCTAGCTAGGGTCTTTTGAGCATGTGTTTGTTGGTTGATTTTAATTTTATTTTTGGCATTCTAAAATTTGTTTGGTAGAGAAAATTTTTTGGCAATGATAGAGATATAAATTGAATCACAAGTCAAATCTATAATATTGGCCTCAAATGTCACATTTTTCACAACTTAGAATTACATTATAATTTCCTACTTGAATGGGGCAAAATCTAGTCAATAGATTATACCAATTTTTAACAAAAGTTGCAAGTTATATTTGCTCTTCACACTCATGAGAACTGTTCATCATTGAATTTCAAGAAAATGTGACTAGGAAAATATTTTATAAAACAGTTGAGGAGTTTATAAAATAATTACTTACGAAAAAAAAAAGGAAAAGTTGATAAAATCCAAAGTTAATTAAGATTTAATATGCCTATATGCTTGAAACGATATAAACAGATGAATTTCAAATTCACCACTAAATAGACTTATAATAAATATATAAATTTGAAAATAATTACGATTGTCGTAGTTACATATGCTTTATCATACAATTTATATTAAATTTAAAATCTAAATCCTTAGTTTTTTTTTTTAAATTTCAAGTTACCAAACGCAACCTAAATATTTTCACAAAGAGAAAACAAAAATGAAGAAAATGAAGAGGAATGTTCCAACTTCAAACTATATACATTGAATTGAACTAAGTATAAATATAAGATAGAAACAGAAGACAAACGAAATCAACCAAAACACAACCTTACAAAATAGGCCCTAAATAAGTATTTTGTTAATATGGGCTAGGTAACCATTTTAATGGGTTGTTGGTCCAAGCCTTATACATTTGTTGTAACCCAAAAGGAAAATGGTCATTAATTTTTAATCACATCAAAGTTTAGGTTTACATTGTTTGGTTTAATGATATATGATTTATATTGATATAAAAACTTCGGGGAATTTTTCATGCAAATTTTTGGTTATATTAAAGAGGTTGTCAGACTGAAATTAACAGGATTGACTTATATTATTGCAAATTATGTAAATAACAATATTCGTATAATTTGAAGCTTAAACAATACTATACGATATGTACGATTATAACTGGATTTATTTTTTTTATAAGCTTGTATATGTTAATTCAAGACATATTCTTGTCGCTAGCTCACTACTTAGTATAGAATAATCCAATATTCGAATTTGGTATATCAAATGCAATACTCAATCTTACGTTAGAATATTTTAGGGATCTACTATGATACTAGTAAAAGAGGTACTTGATGACTCCGTTGGATTGCTGGATGCTAGCATCAATGGTCTGGAGGCAGGTTTAGATTGCCTGTTTAAATGCCTAATCCGAAATAGAGTGTCCTTACATAGTACCCTCACGCCTTGAAGACACAATTGTACACCTCGTTGTTTATGCATGGCATCTGCATTTTAAAGGATTGATCGAAGTTTAAGAACAAGAGAACTATATAAGAATCGTGTTGAAATCTAAAGGCACTTTATTCTTTTGTTATTTATGTCTGCCTATATTAGTAGTGTTCAGGGTGCACTGCTTTTACCTGTGAAATTGCCGGTGCAACACATTGAGTTGCATTCTGAAAGAAAATAACAAAAATGTGAATACCAAACATACTTTGCTTCTTTCAATCCCTTGCGATGCATGAGCTTTAGTTTCTCGTTTTAGTCAATGTCAATGATTTCAGGCTTCACTTGGTTTATATTATGTAATCAGTACATAATTTTGGTCTTTCATCATGGTTAAGTTGATTATGTTTTACATTGACTGTCAACCTATCACAATCCTCTTCCTTTATCCAGATTTGGGAGCAACAATGTGACAACACATAGTCGGAGTTAAATATAATCCTACAGATGAAAACATCGTATATAATTTGATATAATCGACTCCAGAGTATGAGATATAAAATTTAGTGTGTTGTTGTAATCAATTTGATAAACGAGTTAACTTGCTTGGCCAGTGAACAACTTTTGCAATGGAGTTTTGGGAATGCAAAGGGGAAAATCTGAGTATGCTTTTCACCCATCAAATATAAACTTTTAACTAGTAATTATTATTGCAAAGTATGGAAAACAAGATAGACATAATGATCACCAGCTAATAGAAAATAAGCACAAATAACCAAAACGATTGAAGTTTAACAGATAAATGAGGATTCCATTACTATATCTTTCAAGTTTCACCTACACTTACCACCATTGCCAAAAAAAAAAAAAAAAGCTTGAAGAAGTTAATGTGTTGCAGCTCGGTTAAGAACAGAAAATTTTAATCTTGAACTGCAGCTGTCCCAGTAAAGGCCAATTTCATCACCAAGCTTCAGTTCCCTCCTCTTCACAAAGTCCTTGACCCAATTCTTGATGAGCACATTGGCCCCCTTGTTCCCTTGCTTGAAAACCATCTCATGTTCGGTCTTTGTATCACAATCCCACACAGAAACTGGCAACCCTTGCTTAATTTTCTTAAGTTGATCAGCATTCCAGAAGGGAAAAATATGAGATTCTACCAACTCCAACGCCAACAAGAGCCTAGACATGTTGCCGAGGTCACTTTCATAGAGCTGCTTTTTAATGCACCAAGGATCATGGCCAAGCCTCAATTCAGTCACAACGGCCTTACAACTTTCTTCTCTCTCAATTTTAGTTCTCTTGTTTCTGCAGGACGAAACTATTCTTGTACTGCTAGGATTCTCCATTCTTTCTCTCTTCTTGGAACTGCAAGCGTCATCGAAACCCATGTTCAGTTGCAAACAAGGACCTCCAACATTCAGCTTCAGGAGGTGGTTCAGATTATGTTCTTCCCTTTGATATTGATTGCTACATTCACTGGCTTCAAAGCTCTTCTGGTTCCCTTTGTCAGTTGCAGGACTCTTTTCTTTGGATTCCCAAATATAATCCCCTGAAAGAGACAATTCTAATGAAACGCCCTCGCTTTTCTTCTCTACAAAGTTGTTCATCTTGTATTCTTTTCTTTGATATTCATCATTGCTATAATGACTCTCGCCAACTTCACAATTTCCCTCGTAATAAATTTCTTGTTTTCCCTTATCGGTTGCAGCAGTGGAGGAATAACCAAGTGAAAGAGACAATTCCAATGAAATATTGCTCTCTTCGCAGCCTGGGTTTTCTTCTTTTGGCCTGTCTTTGGCCGGAGAGAACAAACCAGAAGCGGTAAAGGGCTTGTAGTCCATTATTGAAACAGGCATGCACAAAGGAAACAAACTTCTCTCTTTGGGGTTCATATGCATAAACCCTTGTTTCATGAAAAGAAAAACAAACGATGGTAGAACCTGAGAAAGGGTTTATATATAACAGAGATGATGCAAATCCTTCACCTGTTAGGAAACTAATTCAGGGGAAAGCTTGTTGACCAAGTAATTACTTTTGTTGGAGTTGATTTAGGAAATTTATCATCTTTTAATTAATTAAAATAAAATTTTTAATTATTTAATCTAATTTATAATTTATTTTAATGTTTTATTATTTTGATGTTGATTTTAATAAAATAATATATATTTTTTACAATTGTGTTGGTATGTCTAGAAAATAAAATAACTATTATTAATGTTGATGTTCATAGGAAGATAAAAAATAGATAAAACATTTGCTTTATAATGGATCGAGTATATGGCATATGACAAATTTAAGAACTAATGTAAAATTTTCATCATTGTTTTATGAAAAAATTATAATTGTCAAGAAAATTTATGTTTGTTTTCCTTGCTAATAAAAAGATGATAACACTATAAGAATAACATTAAGAACAAAATGGAGCTTTAAAGATTTTGGATAAGATGAATAAAATCTTTAACCTAAAATTTTCATAAGGAAAGGCTTTATTTCTTTTAATTTAGATGCTTTATATCAATAATATTTTTGTGTAAAACTTCGAAAATAGTAAAAAAAATGAAAATAAAATTTAAAACAAAATGATAAAAAAATATTGTTCAAAAATAAAGAACCGGAAAATTCAATCAAAACAAACAAAACTAATGTATTTTAGTTAAAAATATATATCATGCACACAACGTCTTGCAATTGAAAAATTAAATGAGTTTAAAATGACACTGTGATTTAAAATTATGAATAAAATTAATCCAAATTTATTTTGAGTACAATTTTATTTTGATTTATTTAAAAATTTAAATTAAAAACTAGTCTTGGTTGATGAAACATACGATGTATTGGACAAAACTTATACGAAGTTTAATAGATGAAGTTTTTGAAATTCTTTATTAAAAATAAGTAAATAAAAAATTTAATAAAAAATTTAAATTGATAAATTGATAGAATTCAATGTAAAGATTAATAATAAGTAAAAAAATATTTAAAATATTATTTAAAATTTAAATTTGATTGATACTTATTTAATGGTAAAAATTCTGTCAATAATTTTATTAAAAATATCTATTTAATAAATATATCAAAATTTTTTCAAATTTTTTAAAATTTTGCACGTTTGATCTATGTGATGAGATTTTTTAATCTATGAATTTTAATTTTTGATTTTTGTTTTTATTTATTTATTTCTAATAAAAAATTTCACAAACTTCACTTATAAAACTTCGTATAAGTCTTTTCCAAAATATATTTATCTTATTCTAAAAGTTATAAATTCACAGCTCAAAATTCAACGTTAATTCTCTGAATTGAATTAACTTTTTAATTTCAATTTTTCATTTAATTATAGTTTAAATTAAAAACCATGTCTTACGAATCTACTATGTAACTTGTAATTACCATAAAACTCACCCATGTTTCTTGTCAGAACAAGAAAGAAATTAACAAATTTCACTTCTGGTTAAGAGGATATTTTTCCATTTTAACTCAAATAAATCCCACCAACCTGAAGACAATGGGAAGTCTTCATTCAATTTGGCTTTCTTTGTCATGCTTTTGGTTATTACATCATGTTAGATTCTTTCTTGTCTCGATTGAACACATGCAACTCTTTCAATTTCTTTCCTTCTTTTTTGGTTTTCAATAGGAAACTTTGGTCTGCTGATAGTAACAAAATGGGTTTGTCCAAATTGGGAGATGGGAGTTAAAGTAAGGAATGTTGTTTCCTTTAAATTTGAGACTATCAAAATGTTTGTCGAAAATGCTGGGTATGCATTCGCCAGAACACTTGGTGTAAATACCCCAAGGAAGATCCACCCTCAATGCTATTTGTGTTGAGTTTCAACCTCGAAGAATTCCTAGAAAGGTAAAAAAAAAGGACGGTTAAGGCAAAGGTAGGGTGTATCCTTATGTTTGCATTTCATTGCGCAAGTTAAAAAGAATGAGATCAGAAAAAAAGTGGGAAAGAGAGAAAATGAGTTGAATGTGCTTACCTTAATGGTTCCTAAATCTCTCATATTTATAGGTAAGCTATAGGGGACCATAAAGGGATAATATAGACAATGTCGAGCTGATATGGCACTAAGAATGTCAGATCGACCCGACATGTCAAGTCAGCATAAATGATAGAAATATCCTTAGTTTTTTATTAAAGGATTTCAAGAGAAAAAAAGATCATTATACCTTTTTGACCATCAAATGCCCTTAACACTTTATCCCCCAATCAGGCAGTCTGAGTATTAGGTTGCTAAATGTATTATCGATGCCCCCAGTGTAAAGTAGATTAGCTAAAAGAGATAACTTAGAAGTTTGATTCTTCGAAGCCGACGTTATAAAGGAAGATCAGTTTTAAGAGATGATTAGCTTTGAGCCGTGGTCCGACCTTGTGGTTATCTTGTCTCATGTTTGCGTCTTAGGTTGAATGCATAGTCAGCTTAAAGGTTACTAAGGTAATAATTGTTCGGAATGATTCAAGGTTATGCTAAAGTTTGTCTGGTCGTCGTAAGACTTGTATTTTATTTTAAAAACTTGGATTTGAGCCTTTACTTTAGACTTTGATGGTGGATTGTGCTCTTGGTTTGCTTTAAAAAGTCATCAGGTTTAGTCGGTTTGACTTGGGTTTCATCCAATTAGGTTGGTGTGGCAGCATTAAATGAAGAAAGATGTCATTTGAACAAAAAAATTTTAAGGAGGAAGATAAAAAGATGTCTTCTCTCCTTTGCTCCAACACATAGTGCAATCTATGTTGATTATCTTATCTATGAAATTCCATATAAAGAACCATTGTGACTTTAATTTTTTACCTTTTTGCTTTCTTTACTCTCAATCTGACCTAAACTTTTTGATCTTAAAAGCTTTCTAACCTTTAAAGTTTTTTCACACCTTTTTCGATATGTATTCTTTAACCAAGTCTTCTAGTATGAGTTTTGAAAAGGCCGAGAGTTACTAGGTAGAACTTAGAAGAAGTCAGCTTAGGTAACAAGATGACAATTTGATTCCACCAATTATCGATGGCTGTAATTATGAAAGGATGGCCTACTAGTTCAATCTGATATCCAAGAAAAGGTAGTTACGAAATGAAGATAATGTTTAGGTAAGAAAAAAATGGGTCATAAACACAGAAAAGCTACGTGCTCAAATTGACTTCGACCTACAAAATCCATCACCTTTTTTTATCTCTCAAGTTGGTCTATCTTTTACGGTCGACTACCTTTATTTTTGGTTATTCCTGCTTCTAGGGTTTAATCTCATCAATTTTTTTCTTTTTTTGCTCACCCCCTATCAATGTTCCTATTGTCACTTCTATTCCCCCTTAGTTATGTCTTGTTGAGATCTTTTCCTTTCATAAAAGGTTTCCATCTCATCTTTTTTCCTCTAAAATTAAGTTACTTTCAACCACTATTCCAACTTGGAGTCAAAGTTAGAGTCTTCTGATGATAAAGATTCTGATGAGAAAGGTTTTGAAGAGAAATAAGAGAAAAAGAGTAACTTGACTGAAAAAGTGATGGCAGAAAAGAGAACCTTATGGTGCAAGATAAACTGGTCAAAGTCCTTGTATATACTCTCTATGACTTATGCATGATCTTTAAGGATGTGATGAGCAAACTAAAAGATAGGGCAAATCTTGAAAACTTTCCTAACATGTGTTCAGCTCATCACATTTGTACTCTAGCTATAACTTTTTTTTTTAGTAAAGGATATAGTATAATAATGCCAAACTCCTTAGATAGAGTTATTGATAGACTGTAGCCATATTGGCTTTATGAGTATTAAATTCCTTCGTGGTTGGTCTGAGGTTTCTATTTCATCTTTTATTTGTTTCAATTTCTAATTCTTATATTTGATTATCATTTAGCGCAATCCTAACTTTATATGGTACATAGTTACCTTAAACATTCTTTGTCAGCATTTAAACATTCTTCCTTCTCTCACTCTATTCATGAAGTTTTTTTCTCTTAAAAAGCACCCCAATGATAGTAGGTGGTACTTTATAACAACTCAGCCCAATATGAAATTACTTGTCAATTGTTCAAACTCAATAGAAAATTAAAAGTTGTTTTTTCTTTACCTCGAGAAGCAAAAAATAAAAATGATGAGCCCGAGGTCAAAGCTACTCTCAAAGTTAAGGCTTGAAAAATAAAGAGTATACTCGATGTTTTCGTAGATGCACTGGTGGCTCTTTCCCATCTTAGATCTATCAAATCGAAATAAAAGTTTAGATTATACCTATAAGGGAAAGTCATCATTGATGCCCATGAGCTGACTTCCCTAAAAGTAATAAACAAGATGAAGTATTGGGGTAGATTTAAGGTAACCTCATAGGATTTTATTTTAACTTGATTTTTATCTAATTATTAGCTCGATTTTACAGAGACAGCTAGCAAGGACAACTTTGATTTTCGATTATACTAGCACACCTTCAAGCCCAAAATGGGCTAAAAAAAATTTAGCTTAAGACCTCATATTGCGAAAAAGACAAAGTCATCAATACCTTATCGTATTGCTCTCTTACAGCTCAAAAAATAAAAGCTAGGGCTGGCTGAGATTTATCCTTAACGTCAGCACTAACACTTTCTCCTCCTACCAAAAATCCATTAGTAGAGGCATTTTATTCCACCCTTAAAAACCTTAAAACTAGGGTATTAAGGCTAGCTCAAAGAAGATCTCTACCAGATTTGAGTACACTCATATTGATGACTTCATCACCAACCTGATCATGGCAAGAAGATTTATCAAAGTCGCGATCCCTTATCTTGGTAAGTATTAACTAACTTTAGCTTAATTTTATATATATTTTCATTTTGCTAAGTTTGAGGTTATTCTGCATAATCCAACAAAAATTTTTTGCTTA